GGCTGCTTCTAATTTTGCCTGGTGATGTTTCTGTGCTTTATAGATGGACACCTTATGGTACTGCTACCACGAAGTGCATTATCTGCAAGCAGCAAGTGCATCAAGATGGTAAATACTGTCACACTTGTGCCTATAGCAAAGGTAAATAGTAAATACATCTGTTTTATTCTACCATTTTCTTACCTCTGGTTAGATTAGCCATATAATAGATAAGTGATGGAATTGGCTTTTCTTGATTGTGCAGGAGTTTGTGCGATGTGCGGGAAGCAAGTTTTGGACACAAAGATGTATAAGCAAAGCAATGTATAAACAAATCCAAAAGCTTTTAACATTTTAGTTTCGATCCCTTTGATGTCAACTTGCATAAACGGGACGACTTATCTTCTGATGTCCTGAGATGTCTTAACAATTTCTCACTCATGTATTCTGTACTTTTTGCTTATGGTATAACAAACCAAATTTTCCCTGTATTTGGGATGATCATGAAGTTCCAATCTTTCTGTGTTAATCATGTTGATTCTCTTATGTTTTTGGGTGAATCTTGAAATTCTTATCTTTCATGTTATAAATCGAATTTCAGTATCCAAGATAGATTTGAAAAATCCATTGATAAGAGTCAAAACCGGTCCATGTCCATGTTAAGACATGATCCAACTTGTATATGCTAAACTTGAGATTTGGTTTATGGTACCGTACAATTATACTGCCTCTTCTTGTGACTCGGTCTACTGTTCAGATCTTTTATAACATTAAAGTAGAGTAATAATGGTAACAAAAAGTGTCTGAAACTTGAATGTTCCTGTGTATCCTTGCATAGTAAGTGACCTATCTTCTCCGCTTCGATTCTTTACGCATTTCTGCAAAGTAGTTCTCAAGATTCTGCTTCTCCCACAGCCTTTTTTGCACCAAATCTTCCTTTTTATACTCATCTGTCAATCAAAGCAATTGCACAAACTCGTTTTAATTGCGTATATCAGAATCAATCTTTATCCGTGTCGGTTTGGATGTGGAAAACAGAATAGAAAAGAATATATGGATACCGAGATTAGTCCATGCGTCAAGAGGCACTCCAAGTGATCTTCGGGTTAGGTATGATGCGTCTTCCCATGAATAAGGAGCTTTATTAACCTTATATCTCCATACCCAACTGCTGTACCATGCTAGAAGCTGGAAGGAACAGAAACTTTAATCAGTGATCTCGGAAAGGAAAAATATGTGAGTCTGTGAAATGTGGAAATTCTTAAAATCATGAAACCTTGATGATAGTGTATGGTAGGAGAATGAATCGAACACCGAGAAGGTCCCAGACTGACGGTTTTTCAGCTCCTTTGATTTGTAGGTCGAGTTCGTTGCTTAGCTCTTCTTGCAATTTCCTGGCAATCAAAAAACAAAAAGACAAGATAGGGTAAGACTCGTCCTCAGGTAATGAAAATCAATCTAAGATACTAGAATAGCATACTGGTCAATCTGCTTTGGCCCTTTCTTCTTGTTAGTTACTCCACCGGTGCGTTCGAGTTCTAAGGCCTTGAGCTTATTTTTGTAAGCAGGAGTTCGCTTAACCGTAGCTATAGCCTGCATCAAAACAAAGACGTAGGTCTCGTTAAGAAAGTGAGCCCAAAGTTCGTAAAAGTATGAGACAGTATCTAGTATAATATTCTAATAATACATTTTAAGAGTTTAAGCTACATAGAGATCTCATATTTTCAAGCATGAAAGTAAATGAATCAGATTCAAAAAGTCAAGTCCATAAATTCTACGTTTCCTGAGATGTTATGATACATGATACGTGTTGCACATACCCCATAATTCTTGATTTTTTAAACAGAGATATGTAGATGAGTATTTTTTATAGCTTATAATAAGATAGGCTTGGTATGCATCAGAAAAACTACAGAACATAGACTTAGACAATGGAAACATGGTGAGAGAATCCCTGTACATACCTCATTATACCTTGCCACGTTGTTTAGATATTGAAATGCAGACAAAACTACCAGTAGACCAACAAGAACAGCGCGGGGATCCTAAAAACACATCATGGCAGTTGTCTCAGTTAAAAATGCAAATGATTTCTTGAAAGATATAGTTATCAAAACATGATAATATCTTACCGACTTATGTCCATATTTAGCGCGGTAGTATTGAGCGGTGTTGTAAAATACCTAAATACACAGAACACAAAGCGGTACAGAAAACTCTTAAAGATCTTTTTATCTATGCAATCCACAGCTACTAGGAAGAAAAAAACAAGAATAACATTGACAATTCTCAGATGAATGTTGTACTGACCTCTTCTGGATGTTCAATTGCATAATCATATTGTGACCGAGTCTCGTTATCTTTCAAAATCTACAAGAAGATCACAAACAAACAAGATCAACTTTGATTTTCCAGTCTCAGACTAATTAGTATCAAAATTACTCATTTCCATGAAACCCGTAACAGAAATTTCACATAGAGGAACCATTACTCATTCATAAGATGTGTAATGGGATTTGGAAAATTCAACATATGTTCAAAATCATACAGCTTCTTCGATTCCAAATTTCAAAATCATACCTCGTAAGCAGTAGCGATTTTCACAAAGAGCTTCTTCGATTCAGGATCCGGATTCTTATCTGGATGACTAATCGATTCATCAAATTGAGAACACGAATTAGCGAATCAAAGATCAAATCCAATCAATCTGAACAATGTCTAACAAATCGAGAATTCCTTACTGTTTCAGAGAAAGCTTGTAATAAGATCTCTTGATATCCGATGCGTTCGCATCTTGAGCGACTCTGAAATCGACAAAATTTCATAAGCTTAAGAGAATGAAAACAACAATCTGAATGGAGAAATATGGATCGGGAGGTGAACCCAAGAAGAGCGTAGCAATCTTCTGCGCCGCAATAAATGGCCGTCGAAGATTGGATGAAGAATGAAAGTGAGAGAAGAATCAAAGCCAAGCACCACCGCTTCGTCGCCGGCGGCGCCATCTCTCGCTTACTCGGCGGCGAATTGGGAGGAGGAAAGAAAAAAAAAAAAAACTCTTTGGGCCCCTTTTTTTTNTNTTTGTTGTTTTAAGAAGGGAACTGAAATGTTGGAGAGATTTGTTTTCAAAGGTCAACACAAATTTTTTTAACTTTAGATTATTAATTTTGGAAGGCATATAGATTTACATTATTAGTATATTATTATAGTCTAAATAATTGAATCGTATCGTGCGATATAATAGGATTTTAAAATAAGAAGAAAAAACAATAATAAAGTATTGTTTTCTATAGTTTTTTCTTTTGAAAATTTGGATGAAAAGTTCAAAATGACTACAAGTTTCGATTTTGTTGTTTTATATCGTAAAGAACTACAAGTTTTGATTTTTTTGGTTTCTATTTTTAATGTTTACAAATTTGTATTTAGAGCAGTTTACAATCGGACAAATAGAAATAAAATCCAAATTTTGAGAAAGCATCACCGTCTTTTAGCTCATGCAATTTATCAAACAAAAAAGATGATCGACGTTCAACGACTTTTTTAACATCATCGTTGGTTTTTTTTTAAGTGATAATTTTTTAACACTAGAT